GCACAGTCAGGTTTAAGTAAAGGTTAGGACAAGGGTTAGGTGAAGGTAAGAAGTGTTTAGATGTGTCGCTCCTCTCATTTCCCAGTTTGTACATCCTTGAGTCCTCTCCTTGCTTCCTCATCTCTCCCTCCTGAGATGCGAACACACAAGGAGAGAGGACTCGAGGCAACAGGCTCAAACAAAATAAGGAGACATTTTAACACAACTTAAATTAACTAAGACGTGTGACACAGCTGCATCATCTGTCCATCGTTGAGTTACACTCCACCGCTGTGTTTTGTAAGCTCTGTCAGAGTTGCATTGCTCAAGGCAATTTACAGTATTTCAATTCACAACGATATCACATACATACAGTTGTCAGTCCTGTTGCAGCCACCGTGTGTGTGCTCCAGCTGTGTGTCCCTTTGATACGTCAAGGGTGCCGCAAAAAGTCCTCCTCAAAAGAAACAGCAAGGATACACCTGTGTACTATCCTCGCTCACAGCTTCTCCGGCAAGCTTCCTCGCTCCTCGTCCGTCTCTCCTTCAGGTGCACTTTAGGAATCAAGACATCCTTCAAGATGGCACGCTCAGATCAATTTCCGGGTCACAGGCAGGAGGACGGGGAACAGAGGAGACGAGGTCGAACGGATAAAACGAAAGAGAGCCTAAAGTGACGTCCTCTGAAGTGATGGAAACACGACTGTTTGTGTGTGTGTGTGTGTGTGTGTGTATACGTGAAGAGAGTGCGAGAAAGAAGTAGGCGCGTGTGTGTGTGTGTGTGTGTGTGTGTGTGTGTGTGTGTGTACACACTCCGGCATGCACACCTGTGAAAACCCTTCGCAAAACATACATGCAGCGAGCAGAAAAATAAAGCCAAGAGGTAATGAGTAGGAGGAGCGTAGCAGGTGTCAGATTGTGGGAGGTGAAAAATTATCATCATCTCGAGCTTAATGCTTCAAGTCTCTTCCTATCACTGCACCCCCCCCTCCTCCTCCTCCCCCCCTCCCCCTCTCATCCGCCATTGCCTCAGAGCCACCAATAAATTATGGATGCTTATTAGAAAAGGGCAATATTCAGCATCCAAAATAAACTCAGCAGCAAGAGACATAAAAGAGACACAAACAAAAAGTGCTGATGTGGGGGAGAGGAAGAGTTAAAGTCACGGGGGAGCCAGTGGCCCGGCCAGTTAAACCTGGAATGATCTCTTTCTAGGTCACCGGCGTTCAATCCGTGTGCCATGGCACGCTAATGTACTGCAGCAAGTGGTGGAAGACGTGCTCACATGTTCTACCTCTGCGGCAGCTATGGCACAGTATAGAAATGTGTGTCACTAGCAAAGGTCCTGCAGTCAGGAGAAGTCAAGGTATGACAGAAAAATACACTAAAGGACTAAAAAGTAAAAGTCTTTATTGATTACAATAGCAATATTATTATGTTGTGTGGCTCACATATGTCCAGGTAAGTCTTATCTTCTCTGTCTTAGCTTAACTGTTAATTACATTGTGTATAATGCATTTAAATCTGCAACATATCTCGTCATAAGAGTTTGAGATAAACGCAGAGGAGTAAAAGGGGTAATATTTCCGTCTCAAAATGCATCAAATTTGTACCTAAACACAGAACCTTACTAAGTTTCCATCACAGACTGAAGTGAGTAAAGTTCCAGGATAAGACACACAGATGACAAATTTTAAAGAAAAAAAAAAGAGAGAAATGTATTCCCAGTCTTTCATTCTTCCTTGGGCAACATCTTCAAAGTGATGTTAAATTTGTGCGCAATTTAGGCATATTAAACTTTTTCACTTTCTGCATCTCTAGTAGCGCTTTGTTCTATGGCCAGTGGCAAGGCCTCATCTCTGCTGCGAGGGGCCTTGCTCGCGTCTACAAGGAAAACACACACACACACACTGTTAAGCAAAATCATTGATTTAAGTTCATTAAATTTCCTGTTAACAAGCACATAATGAAGCATCGCATTGCACCGTAATGCAATTTGGATTCCATCTACGGCACCGGCTAATGGTTTCGTGTGACTTTGTCGAGCGATCGATAATTTGGTGTCTCTGTGAACTCTGCTGCTGCTTCGCGCGACGTGATGTGATGCAGCGCAACAAAGTCGGAGCGACACTCTCTTTCTGGTACACTCCGTTCTGTGTCGAGTCCCGCAGTTGAGAAGTCGCATCCTGCCGTGAAATTTTCTCAACCTCCCCTAATCCTGAAGTTTGCTGAGAGTTGGCGCGTGCGAATGCCACATCATGCTCGTAACGCCCCTGGATTACAGTACATCCAGATTAAATGAAACTTTTAAAATGACTGTATATGTATGCAGGGGATGTTTGCGATCAGCGTGTGGAGATGCATATAAAAAGCTCATCTCCCCCCCAAGAGGAAAAAAACGAGAAGTAGCGAGGAGAGGAGCCTAATAAGCAAGACGCACTGCACTGTAGATGATGTTATTAGACTTAACAAAGCACGCTGTGACAAAACATATGGCGTGCGGCATTCCCTTTTCCCTTTGAAACACAGCATCACATGTCCTCGGTGCACTCGTCTGTCCAATTGCAGTTTGACAGACAGGTGTTACAAGGTTCCTGACAGCCTATCAGAATTCAAAGAAGTGCAATCAATACTACACTGCTGCAAGAGAAACAGTGACTGATCTACAAGTCCCTGCTGAGCCAGCAAACTGTTGCAACAGGAAGGAAAGTGTGTCTGCGGCACAAAACACACACCCCCACTTACTCGCTCGCACACGCGCTTCACACACGAGCGCAAACACCTGCACGCACACGATTCGCAGGCGTGAGCCGACAAAAAAAACGCACACATCCAAACGCGCCCCAGAGAAAGCTACAGTAAATGAACCTCGCAGCCGTCCAAAGCGCTGACATCAATCAGGCACGCTTTCACCGTTTGGCTCCCGACGGACAGTGAGTCGCATCTGTCTGCTAGAGCAAGTGCTAAACAATTCCAAAGTGACAGAAACCATTTTATGCATATCTACAAACTCGTTGGCACTCGTCCCACTCTCCCCTGCACTTGCCTTGCTGCAGTTGTGCAAATTGCGAAGCCTTTTGCACTTTCTGAACGCCGCTTTTGCGTGATAATGATGAAGCAGTCGTTGCACAGGTAGGCACACAGCTGAGCACCACCGCCGCCACACGGTGCACCCGGGAGTGTTGGGACTTTTCTTACCCCGGCTGCTGTTGCACACAAATAACCTATAACACTGAGAAAAAGGCACTAGCACTGGAAAAACATCGCTGCAGCTTCCACGACTGGCGCTGACTGTGTGTCTGCTTCGACCCACTGCTTATTTGTGACAGAGCCCATGAGGCCCCGATGCGCAAACGTTTCATGACAATCAGGATATCACCCTGAAGAGAACCCAAAACTCTTTTATATAGAAATTACAGGAAAAAAAAATAAATGAGGACGAGAATGCACAAGGGTAAAATGGAGATGTGAGCCTCGTGCAGGACAGCGCGGCGACATCAGAGAAGTCCCTCCACGAGGAAGCAACTGATCAAACTCAAACAAAATGACAGTTGGCATTGAAAGCAGACTGTAAGTTCTGGATACTGTCTATCTGCAAACTGTTCTGTTCTGAAATATCTAAAAAAAATATGTATGCTGGAAATGTTTGTGAACAAACATGAACAGTCATAGGGCAAGGCCTGCACCTGCAGGTAAAAAATGATCCCAGATAACCGCATGATGGAACTAAAACTCAGGTGGATCATTTTTCATTGTAAGGCCATGCTTGGAAATTTCTATAAAAAGAGATAGGAGGGGGAAAAATGACTCCCTGAGATTTCATCCAGCACTGTCACTGTACAAAGACACGACACTGTCTGCAGTTTTGGCCTGTGGAATACAACAGGTTTTGAAAATAGAAATAAAAATTAAGGCATCGATGGCTCTAACAAAACACTTAATATTACAGGCTACTAAAAGATCTGAGAATTGTCCCTGTAAGTTGGTCACAGTCTGCCCCAACACTGACATGTCAGCAGCAGTGTGACCTATTAAGAGAGGTACAAGCCTGATTAGTTAGCGAGGACTCTTCCACGAGCCCGTGTGCTCCGGCAAATGACAGATTGTCAGCGTTTCTCAGTGTGACGGCAGGCTGCAGGATTGCTTATGACAACAGCACTCTGCGCTACTATGACTAAACAGACCTTGTTTTCGATGGCTGCCACATGCCTTCAAATGTCAGAATCAAAAGTATCAAAGCTGACAGATCAGTTTGTGTGTTTGCTTTGCCCGAAGGGATAGAACAACGGCGTATCTGGCCAGGCGCCTGTAGCTGCACAAACTGAGCCTCTGTAATACAGCGAGACCGCCAGTCTTAAGAGGGGACAAATCTCAGCCTCATCCTCCAAAGCGTGGAGTGACGGTCCTGTTTAACCTGACAGGAATGAGCCACTTCTCAGGGAGCTCTGGGCTGAAACCTGTGTGTTCCTCTGCAGCAGTGTGTGTGTGTGTAGTTGATTCAGTATGCACGACCACAACTTAAATCCTGGCCAAACTCTGACCCTTGTTCAGTTCCAATCATAAACCTCCAACAACTATAATCACACTTTGTGCAATAAAGCACTGATCTAATTCAGGCTCCTTCTTGCACCGCATAATTTTGACCATAAAGATTTATTTCTGCCTAAAAATGGAATTAAATTGGATTTACAGTAGGTGGGTTTCCCCTCTACACTACACTGTTGGATGTTTTCCCAGCTTTCCTCCTGTGACTTCTAAGAAGTAATATCTCCCTTTCAAGATAATTTGCTGTCCATCTTCCCTGCAGCTCTTCTCGCAGTAGTTTAAACGCCAGTTATTAAGCCGCCTCCTATGAGAGGAAAAACGCGGACAGAGAAGCCCCTTAATTAAGCTTATTGTCTAATAATTGAACAAATTCTCATCGCGGCTGCAAGTGCGCGCAGTCAGCCTGCACTAATAACGCCGCTCGTGTATCCTATTGATGTAATAACGGGGATACATGAGTAAACAGCAGGCTCTTACCGTAAACTCCTTGGCCCCAAGCAAGCGGAGAAAAACTAGACAGTGACAAAATCCAGAAAAGCTCCATGTTCAGCTCAGTTCCGTCATAACCTGCGAGAGGAAAGAGAGGAAAGGAGTGAAAACCAGACGCGCAGATGGGAACAGGCTGCAAATGTGTGTGAAACAAGAAGCTGAGTGATTGTTATCAAAAGGAGAAGAAGAGCTTTTTCAATTTGTTTTTTTTTTTATTCCATGTTCAACTACGTCTCCTTCAACCCTCCCTAAGCCCTGAAAATAATATTACAGAGCAATTTAGCCCCCGCAGCACAACCTCCACCGCTTCATTCAACTTAAAGGGCGCGTAATTCAATCACGAATCGTGGATTACGGAAAAGCTTACAAGCGTGTGTGTGTGTGTGTGTCAGAGATTTGCAGATTGACAGGATTGTAGACGTCTTGCTGTTTAGCGTGACTAAACTTGGCGCTGCGCTCTGCTGGCTGAGGCGCAGAGGTGGTGCAGGTGGAGTCAGGACAGGAGCAAAAAAAAAAAAAAACAACTCCGGTTTAGACTGCAGCATTCATGGAGGATCCGCTACAACAAGTGGGGGGTCATGCACTTTAGACCCCCAAACACCCACACGTAGACACACAGCTTTTTCCTTCAGATCAATACAATTATTCCTACAGTGTTCCCACTGGAAGGAAGGAAGGTGACAGCTCGATTCCTGGGGCGCTTTTTTTCCCCAGCATCTTCTTTTCAAATGTAATACAGCTTTAGAGTTTGTTTTTAATGTTTCCTTGGTCACATGTCACATAAAACTGTGGGAAACGGTAGATAACGGAGCCTCCTTTGTGGCTCTTCGGACTGAGTGTGAGGGTTTCCTCCGGCGCCTGGCACACGCGTTTGCGTAATGGCTCTGCATTGACAGGTTGCATTTACAAAGCGCGCTGTGATCAAAGTTTCATTAGCTTGTATGATGTATGTGAGTTAATGCCCCGCATCACACTGGTATGGGGTGGTAGATCATTATATTGGCTGCATGGGTAGCGATGTGGAGGGGTAATCCCGAAATTTAGATGCCACCAGTGGGGCATATTAGCTGTAATTAGTACAAGGATGATTAAGTTTAACTGTTTGGAGCCTCGGGTGGAATTGAAAATGCTGCTTGGTTTAATGCCCTCACAGATATGTGCACAGCTGTTCTTGAAAAAGAAAAAAAAAATAATGCAGGCATAGACATGAGAGGAAAAGAATCTATAAATCATATAGCAGCATGACAGAAATAAAACACTTGTCTCTGTGCAGCCTTGTGGTTCACCATCACGTCCTTACCTTGTCTCCGAGGTGCCGTCCTTTGGGTCAGTCTACTACCCGGCGCTGCGCGCACTCCTCCCGGATCAGCAAAGAGGATTCCTCCGCTCTCCGTTAGGCCAACCCGCCTCCGTGCTTCTCCACAAAACCAGTTGAAAAGTTATATATCCTCGTCCAGTGAGCGTCCAATAGGAGCTTTACAATTCCCGGAGAGTATAATGTGGAGTTTGCCGAGCTCCCAGACCTCTGAAATAATCTCCTCGGTGTGTTAAACTTTTATTTTACGCACTGAGAGGCGGTCAGCGGAGTCTCACCGCTGCTCGATTCCACAGAGTCTCTCCTCCCACTTCTCCTCTTAAAAAATAAAAAAAGAAAAGAAAAGAAAAAACTCAACCCAGGCCAGTTGGGGTGGGAGAATCCTCCACACGCAGACTGCCCTTGTGTGGATTATTTAGCCTACTCTGAAAGGCGTGGTTGAGATGGCTTTACTGTCTGTCCCTCTTTGCTTCTGGCCGGTGACAGTCTAGTGAACACACAATCATGCGCTCTGAAAATGAGCTCCCCTCCGCTCGTTCAATCAGCGCTGTGTCTGTGGACTCCAAGTGATGCTGGCCAAGTGGAATATGTGCGCAGACTGAGAACGACCGCCCCTGTCTGTGAAGAGAGAGAGAGAGAGAGAGAGAGAGAGGGATGGAGGGATGGAGAGAGTGAGGGGAGGGAGGACAGAGGCTTACACATAGATGCGCTCACAGCTTCCACACAGAACAGGTTGTCAGAAGAACTCCACTGCTTCCCCTCTCTCTCCTTTCCCCTCCTCTCCCGGTCACTCTGATTTAGGTTTTCAACCCTTTTGTGCGCCACAGTGTGTGTTTTTTTAAAAAGCCCAAGGAGCAGCAGTGGTTGTCGCGGTTTTTTTTTTCTCTCTCTTGTCGATTCTTTGGTGGAGTTCGCCAGCTGCGGTGCCACCAATCGTGGATGCCAATTAGAAACGAAAGATCCGAAAGTTTGTTGGGAATGGATGGAGGAGCCACTAACACCGGCGCCCCTCTGCGTGGACCAATTACTATGACAGTAAAAACAGACTGGCTGTTGAACACTCACACACTCTCTCTCTCTCTGCAACACACACATCCAGCTTTACCGTGCCTCCTCCTTTTATCTTCTCACTCACAGGCAGCAGAGTTGTTCTTGTGGGTTCCCGATGAGGCCACTGGAGGGCGTGTTTCAGCTCATCACCGTCGTGTGCGTGCGCTTTTACGGCGCGTCTGTCATGAGTGTGGCTCTGAAACCAGCGTGCGTAAAGGCTCGTGTGTTTCCGGCCTGGAAAGAGTGCACCTGGATGGAATAAAACAGACATGACATATCAATGCTATGTGAAACTTCTTTCAAATTTAAATAGCAAATAAGAACTCTTGGTGGTTAACAAGGGAGTGAGTTATGAGAAGAGGAAGGAAATGTACAGAAACAATTCAAACAAGGACAGCCATTGAGTTTAGAAACAGCCGTATGTGAACCTGTTAATGTAGAATACCACAGAGTCCTCGATATAGGGATGCTTAAGCAAATCATTTATGGTGAACTAGCTCTCTCATGTGACAAAGAAATAAATCCACGCTTTAACCTTGAGGATGTAATGCAGATGAATATCAGTTTGCTTAATGTTTTCTTTCGTCTGCTTGGAGTACTGAGTGGGAGTTTTTTTTTTTTGCAGTTTCAGGATACTGGGCGTGTTTATGCTGCATATTATAAAACACAATGCAGCTGTAATCCATTTTACAGCATAATCTCGGCACATAGTGCGGCATTAATATCCCACAGACCATTAACCTCTGCAAGTGTCTCACCTCAATGTAAAGCAAATTGAGAGGCCAAAGCAAGTGTTTTCCTCACTCTTTAGTTTGTAGGACAACAGTTGCATTTGTCTTTTTCATCGGTAATTTTTCATCTTGTGCGTTTTTGTATTTCCGACGTCACAGCGTTACCTCGGATTTGTGCTCTGATGTTTCTATTTTGAACTCCTGCATGAATCATCGTTGCGCGTAGACTGTCAGTTTCATCTTATCTGCAACCGATTCATTTCCCTGTACTTAATTAGGAAGTAATATGACACACATCCACACAGACAGCAGCTCATAGCGAGTCCACAGCTGCTTGCCCAAAAGAACTTCAGTAGCTGAAACCGTGGAGTGTGTTTCTCATTGTGTTTAGGTGTTTCTTCATATTGTCCAGAATCAGAACCCTCCAGTCACATGTCCGTCTGTATAATCTAGAGGCTGCTAACGTCTCTGATGTTAAACTTCAAAGCGGGTCTTTCCTACTGTACTCTGAATGCCTTCTACACACACTGAGTGATTCTGCTGAGACAAGCTTTGTTAATTAATCCTGCATGACAGCTTGGAACACATTTCAAGAGTTAAAATCCTCAAAAAATCTCTGTTGCATTACATCACCAATCATCTTAAAAGGTGCGATGGCAGAATCCTGAAAACTTCAGCTTTAACTTCTTTCAAGCGGCAGTCTTGAATGTTGTAGATTTTGGCAGCACACAAAAATGAAAAGTATATTTTAGAATGTTGTCCATAAGTCGACTGTTTGGTTATTCAGATGAAACATAATTATGTTCGCTGGGAGAGAAGTTGTAAGAAGAGTAAACTTTTAACGCAGATTGTTTGGTGCCAAACATGGTGGTAACATTTGTACACTTCAATCATTTCTGGGCAACAGCGAGCGGTAAACATTTGGGGGGTTTTCATCTGACATTTCTAAACAGAATCAAGACACTCGGTAATTACTCAGCACTCTCGATTCAAATGAATCTTTTATTCAGAGTAAACAAAATCATGGGATCTGGCTCAAGTATCTGTCTCTTTCCTTCCTTCCTTCCCTTTTTGCCCCTCATCTTGGGTTGCAGCCAGCAGTCTTGGCATATCTTGCTGAGAGCGCATCATTGCTGCTTAAGGCAATGAATCTCAAAAGACAACATGTTGTAGGAACAACCTTGGGTTGGAGCCACACAGAGGCACACACACACACACACACACACATTCATGCCACTATATCAAACTGAGTTTTTCTTTTTTTGGTTTTTGTTTTTTTGTTTTTCAAAGAATTGCTGAAGGATTCTGAGAAGAGTAATAATTGCAGGGGAGGTAGCAAGCCAGCAAAGACGACAATAAAATACTACACATGTCGAAGCCCCAGTTTGTGAATCACCTGCACGTTCACGCTGACGTACTGCCGTTTAGTAACTTGATGAGGCTGCAAGGTGAGCATGACAAGGACATTTTTACATGTGTTGCTGTATAAAATGTAATTTAGTGATGCTCTCTTGTCCGGCGTGTAACTGCTGGAGGACTTTTTCTTGTACTCGGGTAATATTCATATAAAGTTGTGTTTTTACATATTGCATCTGCTTTTCCGTCCGTGGTAACAAGGCAGCATGGTGAGCATGGACGCCTCTATTTCAGCTCAAAGTCCTAACAAAGGAATCACCCGAAACACAACAGAGTGAATCGAATTTCAGGACGCCATCTGGAAATTTCCAACCTCAGCATCTTTACATTCAGCGAGCGAGCCTGAAAAAAAAACAAATCCTCATCTTCTCCGAAAAAATCATTGGTTACGGAATAAGGTCTTCGGGGCAGTGTGATTTTATTGAAGACACTGCTGGAAACTGGATGCATTAGGTGACTGCCTTCACAGATAACCACCCACTGAAACTATAGCTATACTGTGAAACTAATACATATAATAACAAAATAAAAGTGGCCTCGGTGGTGTTGCCTCAAAATAATAATAATAAAAAAAGAAAAGGTAACAGTTTATATTACAGCCTTCACATTACAGCATAATTCTGTAAAGCATAAAGGTGAACAGCGTGCACGTCTAAGGCGCGAGACAAAAAAACAAGCAAACAAGGAGAAGGAGGGGGTTGACTGCGCGCTGAACTTTTCAAGGCCCGCGTTTTTATTAGAGTACGAAAGCATCTCATTTTCCTGTGTAACAAAAAGAAAAAGAAAAGAAAAAGGGTAGCTGTACTTAACGTTGTAAATACATCGCTGCTGTGGACAAAGACTAGACCTTGCAAAAATACTGAGGTCACAAGTTGGCATTTAACAGGAGCGTAGTTATTCTCATATTCTGGGCTTTTTGTATAAATTATTTGAAAATTACAATAATTGCATGAATACACAGTGGAGCTCTGGAAAAAGTACAAGATTTAAATATGAAATACTCGTGACACCGAGCTTGTTATGAGCAAATTTCCAACGAGTAACATCTTGAGAAAAATAAAAATCTCCGTTGGTGCCTTTAAATGCACTGTCTGCCAAGGCTATTATTTTGGCACCCCGTCAGAGCACCGCAGACTGTAATATGATCTGAGGTGCTTGGTTAAATTTTTTTTTTTTTTTCCTCGTACCATGCTCTGTAATTGATGTTCCCATCAGTGTAATTCAATCAGAGCTCAAAGTGCTGTATATCAGCGCCAAGCACTTTCCCACATAGAAACAGCTAAATGGACAGAAAAGATACACTTGAGACTGGCGATAATTTCATTGTGTGTTCAGTGTGTGTGTGTGTGTGTGTGCGTGCAGAGACACCAGGCAAAAGCACAGCAATATAACTGTGTTAAGCAGACATGTGATAACAGGAATCTCAGCTTGACGGCTCAACACGTCCACACACAGGCAAGGATGCAAAGTGGACGCTGCAAGAGAGCGGAGAGGATTCTGAATCCCTCAGAGAAATTATAGGATAACATTTCAGACGTTTAAAAGATGACACTCTTTTCTTTTCTAAATGCACAGACCCGAGGTTTTCGACAACATAACACAACCTGCAGGGTGTCATAAAGGGGTGCAAATTTTGAGAGAAAGAATGAGATGTGTCTCACAATAAAATTATACTAGTTCAACCTGAAGTCATCTCAATCTGGGAGCGACGTACAGGCAGCAGACAGCATTACACCCAGCAGGGAGGACGGTTCTTTTTCAAATCAAACTTTATTGTCGTGTAAGTTCACACAATTCTCACCATAACCACAGCTCCAGTGAGAGGCAACATGTAATTGTCTAACCCTATTTTATGTTCATTTGTATCTTTAGTATGAATATTTACACTTGCGACTAGCGATGCACGATATTAACATTTCTGGCCGATATCGATATTTGATATTGTGGTTTCTGATATCACTGATAACTGATATTACCGATATTACTGATGTTGATATTCAATTTTTGTTCACACCGAAAAATGAGTATAAGTAAGCACTGTGAGGACGTGAAAACTATTCAAAAGAAGCCCAAATTTGACCACACAGTCTTCTTTATCACGTCACAAAAGAAAAACATATTTTAACATATTTAACGTGCAAGTCCAGAACCATTTAAGTAAAAACATCTGTGAAATAGCAGCAATATCAAATGTAGAGACGAAGATGCTAATGTTAGACAATCATCGGTTTTTCACATCAGTTAAATTTGTTCATCGGACCTGTAGCGACATCCAAGTTCTCGTGTCGCTGAGAGACTGAGCCTGGG